ATTATATGTTAATCATGACACAAAATGTCCATCTTTTCTACAAGTTTTTGTCTTCGTTATTGGTCAATGATGATGACAAAACCTTGTCGAAACGTTGTACATTTGCTGTCATGTTAAACTTATATTAAAGTTTTTCTTCATTACCCATTTAAGCCGTCTCCAGCCATTATTACTTCAAATATCTTTCCGAAAAGGGCGTTAAGAAGACTCATGCGACATCTAGAGGATTCTGGTGGAAACTTACATAGAACAAACAGTTCGTTCCAACTCGGGAGCGTCGTTATTAAGCGGATCACTGAACTCACAAGCCAATCTTTCCAAGCAGTGGTCACGTCTTGAGAGCATACCGTTGCACTGCAGGTATTCAGCCATAACCGTTTCTTGTTGGGTGGCGCTGTAGTGCACTTTCTTAAGGTAGTCTGCTACAGCCTGAATTTCCGACTCTTTAGCTAGATGAGTTACTTTGACGCTTCTTTTCCGTCTTCCTGCCGCGACTGTGATAGTTGGGATTGTTAGGGCGGGTATAAACAGCAAACTCAGTAACGGCGCCAATAGCAGAGGGACTCCTGCTAGGGCTAAAAGAGCCCCTTTTGTTGCACCAAACTTCTTTTTCTTTGACCTGAACCCGTAATTGTAGGTGCCATGATACTCCCAAACTTCAGGTTTTTTATTATATCCGTAGCCACCTGTTGGAGACAATTGTATTTATTAACTAAAAACGTAAACACAAAACTCATTAGCATATAATTAAATGTATCGCACGTCCTTATAATTCGAAGTAAACTAAACTTTGAGATTTAGCTTATGTTTCCATTATTAAACTAAACAGCGGATTTATATGTATTATATATTTTTTATTCAATGTTAATTTATACTCTCCTATGGTTGAATTTATAGTGGATGTTTAACCCTAATAATTTAACGTCCGCTATCGATTTGCGGTTAACGCAGCGATCGGAAATATGCGGAATAGACTAATATCACGCGACCGCCACGCTAAATCGAGAACGAGGCTCTTAACACAAACAAAAAACAATGGCATCGTATTAATGTTGTCTTACGATGTGCGCTAATGATGCATAACATAAGAAATCTCTCGTTCCACAGCTTTCCTACAGATGCTAACAGAAGGAAATAGTGGCTTGTGAAGATCCGACTTGATGAAGGACCTCAGTTTTCGGTAAATAATGCAAAACTAAGCAACAAATTTGCATAGGCGTAGCCTAATATTAGTAATAGGGCCTGGGCCTATCCAACCTAGTCCTGTGCTTATAATAAGGCTATACGAACTTTTAAACATATATAGGAAATTATAGTGCCAAACAGACTTTTGTATTCAATAGTCCTAGCTAATGTATATAATATTTGCGTTTAAAAATCGAATATTCTAGTGAACAAAGATAAAATTTCCCTACTATATATATTGGTATATAGGAGCGCCATTGAATGGTAATGGTGTTTGAGGCACAGAAAGAATCAGATCGCTTCCAATTTTTGTCAATGTAGGGTTATATTCTATAATGAATTAATCGGGTTAGTGGATATCAAAAGACGGCGTAAAGCTATGTTTAAACTCGATAAAAATTTATTTATGTTTAAAATGTCATATTTCCTTTAAATATCACAGTACTCATTCAATGATGTCAGAACTCAAACCAAATTATATGTTTTTGGAAAACGAAGTTAACTTATATGTATTTATATTATTAATCCGTGTCCTGGTAACATATGATTTTATTTAAGATTTAAAATTTCTATTTTGACATTTACCTCACTGATTTATTGATTAACAAATATAATGTATTAATATAAAAGGTGAAAATTTTTTGTCATAAACAAGACTTACTTCCTGACAGGCTAGACAAAATATTTTCTTGGTAAGCTACACAACGTAGAAAATAGAGCTGTCTTGGGAGGTTAATACGTACAGCTAATTAGCCTAAAATTTCTAATTTTCATCTTCTGGTGATTAATCTTATCGTATGATACTATGTTATTCAGTTGATTTAATCTTTTAACTTTTATGTAAACAAATAAAAATGTTGAATTTGATGTTGAAATTAGTGTACTAGTTTTTTTATATAACACAGTTTTCACTTGATATTCGTTAAGTCAACGCTGTGTTCGGCTTTTACTGTTCGTCTCTGTGTCATTATTGCTTTTTCTAGAGAGAGGCAAAAATGAAGAGTGATTCATATTCGGAATCTGTTTTTGTACCCAATTAATACAGAAACTTGGGTTTGAAACCCTAGTGGTGTCCTATCAGAAGAAGTCGAATTGTAATCTATATATGTATGCACACATGTTTGTGAGATGAATGACTAATTGGGATGTCTTGAAAATTATTGCACTGTTTGAATAAAAATGTTTACCTGGTCTACGATACCTGGTCTATGTTACCTAGGCTACGATACATGGTCTATGATACCTGGTCTATGTTACCTGGTCTGTGTTACCTGGGCTACGATACATGGTCTATGATACCTGGTCTATGTTACCTGGTCTGTGTTACCTGGGCTACG